TTTTCAAATATATCAATTTCAATTACAACACAGAATACAAAGTGTACAGTGCTCACTTTATATTATTTTTATTACAAATATTTGCACTGTAAAAATGATAAACAAAAGAAATAGTATTTTTCAATTCACCCCATACAAGTACTGTAGTGCAATCTCTTTATTGTGAAAGTGTAACTTACAAATGTAGATTTTTTTCTTACATAACTGCACTCAAAAACAAAACAATGTAAAACTTTAGAGCCTACAAGTCTACTCTGGCCTACTTCTTCTTGGCTCAATTGCTAAGGCTTGGTCTACACTACCCCCCTAATTCGAACTAAGGTACGCAACAAGGTAAGTTCGAACTAAGGTACTTCGACTTCAGCTACGTTATTCACGTAGCTGAAGTCGAAGTACCTTAGTTCGAACTTACCTTGGTCCACACTCGGCAGGCAGGCTCCCCCGTCGACTCCGCGGTACTCCTCTCGCCGAGCTGGAGTACCGCAGTCGACGGCGAGCACTTCCGGGTTCAACTTATCGCGTCCAGACTAGACGCGATAAGTCGAACCCAGAAGTTCAATTGCCAGCCGCCGAACTAGCGGGTAAGTGTAGCCAAGGCCTTAGACAAACAAGTTTGTTTACATTTACAGGAGATACTGCTAACTGCTTCTTATTTACATCACCTGAAGGTGAAAACTGGTGTTCGCATGGCACTTTTTGGGGATTTCCTCCCGGATGGGGATTTAGGCCCAAAAAGCTGGACATGTCCAGGAAAATCCGGACGTATGATAACTCTAATTTAACGGAAGATTGGAGAGCAACAGACTATATAATTTTATTGCTAAAATGAGCAAGAAACACAAATCCAAACAGTGATATTCAATTTTTTAAAGTGTTCCTGCTTAGAATTAAATCACTGAAGCCAAACAATGATCTAAGGCCAAAATTTTCAAACCAGAGTGCAGAAACTTAGGCTCATAAACAAACATTTGGGCAATTAAATAGAAGTGACCTGAATATTACTCCTGGTTGTATTCTGCATCAAAAAATTAAAAATTCTGCACACAATATTTTAAAATTCTGCATATTTTATTTGTCAAAATAAACACTATATAATCATACCAGTTTCAATTATTTTGGTAATTTATTTCAAAATACCTGTCAGCAAGTATGTCTGTAACAATACAGACACACAAAAAATTCCCCCATGTGTAGAGAGTTAAAGAAACCCGTACAACAATCCAGTTCCTGTTTCTCACCTCTCCCCCACGGAGCCCAGCCAGTGGGCCAAACACTCACATCCCCTCCCCAGCCAGAGCCCAGCCATGAAGCCTTCCCCAGCTCAGACACTTTCACCCCCTCTACTCCAGAGGTCAGCTCAGAGCCCCTCCGGCCCAGAAACTCACAGTCCTTCCCACCAGAGCCCAGCCACAACTACCCCCAAGCCCAGACATTCACACCCCTCCCCCAACCAGAGCACAGCCATGGGACCCTACCTGGCCCAGACAGGTAACATCCCCTTCCCTCCCAGCCCAGACACTCACATCCCCTTTCCCCCCAGCCCCATCATTCCCTCCCAGAACCCAGCCACAGCCCTCTCTACCCCAGACTCACACCCCTAACCCCTTAAAGGCCAGCTGTCCAGGGACCTGTCCTCTTCATTATTTATCACTCCCCCAACTTTGTGTCATCTGCAAAGTTTATCAGTGATGATTTTATATTTTCTGCCAGGTCATTGATAAAAAAGTTAAACTGCATAGGACCAAGAACTAATACTTGCAGGAACCCACTAGAAACACCTGCTCAGTGACTATTCCCCATTTACAACTGCATTTTAAGACCTACCAGTTTTTAATCCATCTAATGTGTATCATTAATTTCATATTCTAGTTTTTTTAATCAAAATGTCAGGTGGAATCCACTCTCAGGATTTGGAACACCCTAGCCTCCTGAAGATACTGGATCAAATCCCAGCAAGGTCACCTCAGGCCTTCAGCTTTGCAAGGTAGATAAACAGCATTCCATGCACAAATGTGAATGTGGAGTTTCAGATGAAAGAACAGGAGTACTTGTGGCACCTTAGAGACTAACAAATTTATTAGAGCATAAGCTTTCGTGGACTACAGCCCACTTCTTCGGATGCATCCGATGCATCATTTTTTTGCTGATTATACTATTTTGCATCCGAAGAAGTGGGCTGTAGTCCACGAAAGCTTATGCTCTAATAAATTTGTTAGTCTCTAAGGTGCCACAAGTACTCCTGTTCTTTTTGCGGATACAGACTAACACAGCTGCTACTTTGAAACCTTTCAGATGAAACTTAACCGATAGATGTTCTGAAACGTCCCCACACTGTTGTACTGTTAGGGTGACCAGATGTCCCGATTTTATAGGGACAGTCCCGATTTTTGGGTCTTTTTCTTATATAGGCTCCTATTCCCCCCCCACCCCCAACCCACCCACCCACCGTCCCGATTTTTCACATTTGCTGTCTGGTCACCCTATGTACTGTGTGTCAGTTAGCTACTGCCTTCTGCCACAGGGGGGCTCGCATTTTAATAGTACTGTATGTATGAAGTATATTAGTATTCCAGGACCTTTAAGGGATGAAAGTAGCTATCAACATAAGATATTATGCAGTCTACATATAGCTTGATTGTTTAACAGTGCATGAAGCCTCTACCCCACCCCAACCACTTTAACAGGGAGGATTCTTCATCCTTTACTCCCCTCTTCTCTATCTCCTGCACATTAAACTGAACATTTTAACAGTTACTGCCTAGGCTTGGAAAGATCAGATTTTTATCAGTAAAGGTAGCTAAAATCGATTTCCCTGCACACACACAAACCAGCAACAAATTTCCATCCATTACAGAAATTTACAGACGGGCAAATTTACAGAAAAATGCTGCTTGAAAACAGAATTTAATTGAAGGATATTTACTTCATTTCCACACAGGAAGTTGACAATGTGCGTGTTAGCAATTATAAAGGTTTAACTTTTTGAATCCCAACATCTATCGCAGCAGTTCTCAAACTTTTGTATTGGTGACCCCTTTCACACAGCAAGCCTCTGAGTGCGACCCCTCCCCCCCTTATAAATTAAAAACATTTTTTATATATTTAACAGCATTATAATTACTGGATGCAAAGCAGGGTTTGGAGTGGAGGCTGACAGCTAGTGACCCCCCCCCCATGTAATAATCTCACGACCCCCCTGAGGGGTCCCAACCCCCAGTTTGAAACCCCTGGTCTATGGTCATTAAACAATTACTGTCAGACCCCTCCCCCTAATTTCCAACAACTGTGAACATTTAACTTGATACAAAATGTTTTTAAAATGCTGAAGGCTCATCAATTTTCATAACTGTGAAACACTAAATCAGGGGGAAATGCTTTAAAACAAACATCGATATTATCCATCAACATTAACAGTAGAAACCGCATCCTGCCAAGCCCACTTGTGCCCCAGGCGCCCCCCACCCACCACACCAGCTGCAACAGGGCGGGGGGGGCGGGGACGGGGGACACAAAGGAACAAGGGCTTTGACACCCCTTTGAACCCGAGCTGTCCCCGCCCAGACCCCCGCCCAGCGCGGCCTGCCAGGGAATGGGGGGCAGGGCCAGCAAGGGGGGGCAGAGGCACAAGCGCTTGCCCAAGGGCTGCAGCCTGGGCGGGTTTGCAGGAGCGCGGCGGGGGGCGCTACATCCCCCCGGAGCTGCGGGACGGGGGCGGCGCTGGGCGGGCAGCCAGAGCGAGAGGCCGAAGTTCCGGCCCGGGCCTCTCCGGCCTCCTTCCCCCGCCGGCGGCTGCAGCTCTTGGCCGGGCTGCTCGCCACGTGGCTGGCCGAGGCGGTAGAGCCGCCGGCGCACTTACCAGCCCGGCTGCAGGGGAGCGCTCCGGGGCGGGGGGACGGACAGTCACGAGGCGCGGAAAGGGCGGGCAGGAGGAGATTGATCCGTGCGGCTCTTCCTCCGCAGCTGTGCCTGGGCCGTCACGGGGGCCTCGGCTCCTCCTCCTCCCCTCCCGCTGCTGGGACTCGACTGAGGTGCAGCGAAGGGTCGGAGAAAAACTCAGGCAGGAGGCAGAGTTTTGCAGGTGGCCGCGGCAGCTGGGTTATTATTCCAGCTCTCCCTGGCTTGATTTAAAATACACCCCCATGGCTTGCTAATCTCCCCTGGCAAAGGGGAGGACACGCAAGGAGGAGCCGTGCATTTTGTTTTACAAGCCCTCTCCTGGGTGTACGTGTGGAGGCTAGGAGGGGTTGAGTCGAGATAAAAGTTTGGGCGGCCTGAATTTGCTGTCGAGCACATTGTGAGACCCACCTCTTCAAAAATCATGTCAGGTCCCCCATAATCACGCAGTTTTTAAAAACAATAATTGTGATCTCTATTTGCCTCCTAGGCGTTGAGACGTTTTACAGTTCAGCTGATTAATCGTTTCTGCAGACATGAGGGCTATAAACTTCCACTCTCTTTTTTTAACTTAAGATTGTCACATGATCACATCCTTCCCGGAACTGGAGTTTTGAGAAAAACACCACACATCACAAACATATTCTCAGTAAAATCAGGATCATTGACGACACAGCAGGTAGTAAAGCCAACAGTGAGTTACGCAAGTCAGTCCAAGGATAATTGCAGTTGCAGGCTTAAGACCACAACCACTTGTGTGCTTAACTTCAATGCATGCAAGTATTACACTTTCTCTCCAATGGGACAACTCTTGAGCTTCAGGCAAAGCATGTGCATAAATATTTGCAGAGCTGGGGCCAAAAACGTTACATCACATCTTTATTTATTCTGTATATGTTATAGATAAACTATTCCAGCACTGTTTTAGAGAGTTTTTAAAATGTTTCAGAACCATGCTTTGTATCCCTCCTCCTGTTAGGACTTAGGCCCCATGCTGAAAGCTGTTTTGTACAGACATGTACTCAAGTGCTTTGCTGAATATAGATGGATTTAAGCACAGCCTTAAACATAAGAATGTGCTTAAATACTTGCTGAATCCATTTGAACAAGGTGAGAGAGAGAGAAATAAACAAATTTCTGATGTCTACAACTAAACAGAAAACAGTTTTTCTATATAGAATGTCAAGATTTTACAGACTAATTTCTCATGCCATTCCCTGGCTAGCAGGGAGTCTGGATCACACTGGAAAGGGGAGGAAATTTCCCATTCTGAATGTAACAAAACTCCTATTCCCGAGCCCTGCAGGCTCAGGAGATATCAGGCTGTAAAACCAAGGCATTCTAAAATGTATCCGATAGTTCTGCATTTTATCACCTGGATAGCAGCTCCACATATATTTACCCCATATAATACTAAGTGGAGGTGACATTCATAGGGCAAATACATTTTATCACCCATCTTCGACCACCCCATCCACTAAAGCCTTGCCTAGATTGATAAAAGAGTTAACATGATATCAAACAAGACCTAACGATGCTAGGTAATAAAATGACAATTACATCTTTGCTCCTGCTATAGACACAGGTTAACGCCTTTTTGCACATATTCACTGGTTGTGATCTAGCCTCATGGGAAAATAACACAATTTCAACCACGGTTTGTTTTCCCAATCTATACAAGGCCTAATCCATCTCACTATGATTTATCCCAACCCCCGAGAAGATTCTTACAGCCACCATTTTAGACAAAAAAATCTCAGTGAAATCGTTCCTCCTCCTTTGCCCAAACCAATCTGGAAACTACATTATAACAATTCACAATAGATAATAAGCCACACTGGAACTAGTTGTTAATTGGTCTAATACATTAAACAAGATAGAAAACTCAATTTTGATTCATTTTGCAGGGTTTCCTGTACAGAATCAATATACATTTTAAAATTTAGCCACATTCCTCTATATTTCCAAAGCTGAGATTTGAACCATTCTAATAATAATCTACTGTCTTGGATAAACATTCAGAATAATTTTAAATATATTAATCGTCCTAGAAATAATTATTTACATTTAGTAACATAGCTAGTAATATAGTTTTATTTACATTAAGTGGAATACCAGAAAATATTAACTGGATCTTGCTAAAATTCTGTCGCTGTCCATTTATAGCTCATAGTAATAAAATACCTACCACATACAAAATAGTATAATCAGCAAAAAAATGAACTAAAGAACTTCATAAGATAGATATATACAAGAAAAAAATAACAGATGACTAAGAGATGTTAACTAGGTGGTTTGGGGAACTGGTAATGGGGAATAATAGAGCCTTTCGCTTTACAAGTAGTCTGAGTCATTTTTCGAATCTCTAGGTGTACATATTACAAAAACTTATAACTCCATAAACTACAACTAATTTTGGCCCTTTTGAAAGAATTCGATTAGCAAAGTATTGTATTAGCAAACTCCTGGATGCTGACAAAATAAAATAGTAAACTATAATACATTAAATAATAATAGTAATTGGGGTGAAAGGACACATTTGTATTTTGTGCCATTTGGTGCTATTGTGCCAGTTTGTCACCAGATGACCAATTTAAAAAAATAAACCCACTTTTGAAAACTACAAATGATCATGGGCTGTTGATTAGTGCAGAGCACATCCAGACTGGTTAGGTAGGGGAAAAGCTTTTCAACGGACAAATCTAAACAGATAAGAAATTTTGTTCATAAGGATTAAAGAGTGAAACTTAAATCTCTCTGTTAAGCCTCTTTCCCCCTCTCATTTGGCTGTAAATTAAAAAAAAATCAAAAATTCTTTAATTTGTCTTGCTATTGGATTCACATATTAATATTACCCATGACCTCACCCAGCAGTTAGGATAAGTAGCAAAATGTATTTAAATTTATAAATTCCATGTTATCACTCCAAAAATACCTGGGTACCTGCAATGGTGTTTATTTTGAGCTCTTTGAAAAGCAGACCACTTGAGATGAGCTACTGCATACTTCTCCATGCAAATTATGTGCATATATAAATGTACCACTGTCTCTTCTTATAAGTCTTTAAAGATCAGTGTCACTCTCCAGACTTTGGGGTTTGTGATATTGAAGCTTACATCAACAATTAAAGGATGTCTGATTTCTTCATACTGATTGATGTAGCAATAGATGCTAAAATATGGGGCCCAGATCCTAGTGTGATTCGTCACTGTGACCTACGTCATCACTATGTTATTTCTGCTCCTTGATTGGTTAATTCCCAAACCCACAAAGAGTTTTCAGAATCACTGTGTGAATGCTTCTGGAGTGAACACTCAAGCTAGTCTACACAAGTGCTGAGCCACTGTAGCATGTCTGGTGAAGACACTCTATGCCGACGAGAGAGCTCCCACCTCTATGAGAGGCTCTCCTGCTGACATAGCACTGTCCACACCAGCGCTTATGTCAGTGTAACTTACATCACTCAAGCTGAGCGACATAAGTGATGGTGTACAAGCCCCCATACAGTTACATATTTGCACAAGTATTTGTGACATTTTAACTTTAATTGAATGCACTTGTGGATAAAACCTAGTTTACCTGAATGTTTGCAAATGACCATAAGATTTCCCGCAAATAGTGTGTCAACACTAAAGAAACTGACTGTACTAAGAAATGTGTGTCACTTTCCCGATCTGGAAGATACTTACTTCAAAAGGGTTCTGTGATGATTAGCAACTTGATATTTGGAGAGCTCTGTGAAGATGAAATATGGTATGTAAGTGCTAATTGTCATTATTTATTAATCATACACGTAATGGGTTTGTGAACAAAGTCTTTCTGCGGCCCTTTGAAAATTTACTGCATCATGTTCAGCATTATCTCCCACTGCATTGTCAAAAAATTATAAGCTTCACAGCCAATGTATGCAACTTGTGTAGCCTGGCTGTCTGAGCAAATGGCATGTCTCTGTTTTGGCATTTTAACTTGGCATTTACATTCTGCTTTTCCTGTTGAAAGCACTTTACCAATTGCTACTTTTGTATTTGCTTTCTGTATCAATGTAAATACCTGTTTCTTCCACCATGCAAAACAATTGCTTTCTAATTGGAATGGGCAGCTTTCAGAACAAATTAAACTAGCCTAGTGCATCAGAAAACTAAAGAAATTGTGCTATGAAAGGAAAGACAGAGATGACTTTTTTCCTCTTCCTTTGTAAACATCTCCACCTGCTCTCCCATTTGCCGGGCTGTTTTAGGAGTTGTGCATTCAGTATTATGGAACTTTTGCTATCAGCCATTCAGTAAGAATTTTAGAATAGGAATTACCTAATTACAACCAAGAAGGTCCAGTGGTGGTATTTATACTGGCAGCTGTGGATTGTCCTTCAGCTACTGGGAAAATATTTGTTCCAATACAGTAAGTGATGTTTTTACAGTAGTTCATAGGGTTAAACATTTGAGAGAGCACAACTGGAACAATTGGATGGGACCTTCTCAGACAGACTGGAGCATATGTGCAGGGTAGAGTGAGTAATCTGTGGGTAGCGATGGCAGCACAAGGATGCTGTATTAACTTTTTTTATGTAACACAAATCAGCTCAGCCTGAGGCCTCGTGTACCAATACCAAGGCTTTGTTGTAGGATGTGTGTGTGTCCTTTGGCTTCACTTTCCCAACACTGTCATTCCAAATGCACAGTTCTGCTTTCGGTGACAGGATTCCCTGGACCTGTATCAAACAATATTAGCGCTGATAATTTGTTTGGCAGTAAAGTGGTGGCCAAAAATCCCCACTCACTCCATGGATTTCAGTCACCCTGTGTGCAGTGATTCACCAACTTTTCCAAATCCATATTTGGGATCTTGACAAATGCTTTTTGCAGAGTAGCAGACATCATCATTCTGTGAACAAATAGTATCACAGCAGTGAAATCATACCTGCCAGAAAGTGATTCATGCTTTCAACTTTATTTCCATTTCCTTTATTTTAACCCAGCAGTGGCAGGCATTTCGCTTTTGACATTTTCTACTAACACACATCTCCACGTTGAATTCATTTCATTAATGAGAGACAAAAATGTCCTAGGGGGAGCGCTACTAACTTGGACAAGTCACACAAGTAATTCCACAATTACTTGATT